TTGAAAAGGGAAAAGTTGTAATATTATTAAACATTAAATATTTATTCCAGATTTAATTGTTCGACTTGACTGTGTTTACTCTTATTACTTTCGGTTTTATACCCGGTTTAGGACTAGTTAATAAAATGGCTGCACAACTTGTGCATGTATTGTGCTTGACATATCCATTGCCATCCTCCCCTATCAATCACGCATAACATCACAAGTGGATCAACAAGAGACCAGCACAGAGACTTCGAACAAAGATGCCAACTCTGCTGCCCTCCATACCAAATCAACTGAAGTTAGCAGAGATACTACCAATCAAGAACTCCTTAGAGCAGTTAAAATTATTGAGAAGTGATTGGAAAACTTGGGGAAGAGACAATGTAATGTTATAAATTTGTAATTTGTGGAGAGAGGAAGGTCCTCACAACGAGGATTCTACAAAGGACAAAGTACAGGTAGAGGTAAACCAAAAAAGTAGTTTCTCCTGTTGCAGGGCAAATGGAAGAGAACACTAATTCATGCCCTAAAGATTTGCAAGATAGGATGAAAGGAACAACTAATGAATCAAAGGTCAAAATTTGTAGGAAAGAAGTTCTCAGTCTGATAGATAGTAGTTCAATGCTAACTATTCCAGAGGCATTTTACATTTTTCTGGAGAATAAACCAAGTTTGCATGAGATTTCAGAGTTCGAACTCAATGTTTATGGTGCAAATGGAGATAGTTTCCCCTAGCTATTTGGGATATATAGAAGCAGAAATGAGCTCACTTTCATGCATGAACCACTACTTATCCCAGCAATAATAATTAAGGACTCAAACTTTAATACTGTATACAGGGTTATTTTCGCTCCGTGTTACGTTCGCCCTTTCACACTTGCAAACAATTTTGTTCCGTTTTAAATTCGCCCTGTCACAATTCTGTTTAACAAATTATACTGTGTTTTTTGAATTCGCCCCGTTTTAAATTCGCCTACTTGTGTGTAGAAAGACATAAGAAATAACCATTGTTAATTAACAATACGTCGTCGACATATCTAAATGTCGAGTTGAAGGCCACAGCAAGCATCTATTCGGAGGGGATCGACCAACACTATATGAAATACCTCGAAGTTAACATTTTAATATCTCAGTAAAATTATTACGACGTTGCAATTTTTCCTGACTTTTTAAAAAGGACTAGCTACCGTCGTGTACGTGATGATTTCCAACGGCTTCTTGTAAGTCAAGTCATATTAAAAGGTCATAGAAAAAACATAAATGGCGAAAAGACATAAATGGCTTTGAATTGAAAATGGTTAATGTTGATGACTTCCATCAGCCAAAAGAAATGTGTTTTTAAGTTTCAATATACATATACTCTTCAAAAAAAGAAACGCATAGTAGAATTTTAGTGACACATTGAACATAAAGATTATTTAGAAAAATGATGTATTGACAATAAAGAAATGTGGTTAACAATAGGTCTACAATCTACATGTCATAATTACTGAAGAATTTTAAAATCATAGACAGTTCAAGGCCATTAAAGATCAGTATCTTGTATGCCCCCCACAGACACAAATGATAGCCTAAAACAGCATCTAATGGAAGCAAATGAGTGTAATAAAAATGTATAGGAATACTCTCCCACTGTGAATGTAGTGCTTTGATCAGCTGTTGCAGAGTCTGGGAATGCGATTGTCTTTGGCAAATCAGGCCAATCCACTTTGTCCCATGCATGCCCAATTGGGTTTAAATCTGGCGATTTAGATGACCATGGCAGAAACAGGTTGCTGTAACTTTGCAAGAATGCAATTGTCAAACGAGCCGTATGTGGCTGTGTATTGTCAGATTGAAATACGGCTGCAGGATGCTGCAATATTGGAAAGGCATGTGCAGGTAGAACATCGTTAGAGTACCTTTTTCCATCAAAGTCCTTTGAATATGTACCAGATCAGTCTTACTTTTATATAATACCGTTTTTCATATCATTACACTACCACCACCAAATCTATCTACGTCCTGGATACCGTTCACGGTAGCTCAGTCGGTAGAGCGCTCGCTTCGTGATCGGGAGGTCGTGAGTTCGAATCTCGGCCGCGACAGACCTAAGTCGATAAAAAATAGGTAGCAACTGTTCCTTCGCCATGCGCTCGGCACTTTGAAGTGAAAGTTGCGGGTCTTTCGGATGAGACCTTAAAAACCGAGGCCCCGTGTCACGGCAGGCGTTGGCACGATAAAGATCCCTCACTGCTCAATGGCCCTAAGTGCCGAGTAAAGGTCAAAATTTGAAGCCCTTCACCGGTATATGGTGACGTCTCTATATGAGTGAAAAATTCTCGAATGGGACGTAAAATAATATACAATCAATCAATCAATCTACGTCCTGGAGGCAGTTTTCTGTAAAACATTCATCACGAAGCTTTTGCACTCTTAAACTTATAATAGGCTTTGTGATAAACATTCTGGAATAGTAGCTAAACGAAAGTGTTCAGCGGTGCTGCTGTAGCCATACTCTGTTGATCTGAGATCTTTGAAGGCGATATTTGCGGTGTTGTGGGGTCGGAACAATGGCATGAATAATCCTCTGGCAATAATTCCAGCATTCTATAGTCAACTGCGAACGGTCTTGTTAGATGTTCTGTGCAGTTCAGGGATAGCTAATGCTGTAGATGACGTCATTGTGAAGCATGAAAATTAAGTAAACCACTTAAGCAATCCTGTGCTGATGTCACGTGTGGTCTGCCATATTTTTGGCGAACACTGGGAGTTATATGGTATATGTTTTCTAGATATAGATATGGTGCTGTGCGTAACATTAAAACCTCTTGCAATTGTAGACTGTGGTACAGCTGCTTCCAGTCGCCCATTTTCCTTTTTGTGATATGCAACATTCAGATGCAGCATTTTTAGATAGCGTCAATTTTTAGATAAAACCAGAATCAAAATATTGAGAACCCTAGGTTTTGATAGCCCTTTGGTGCCTGAAGCAGTTGCATCAAAAACCAACAAATGGAAAATGAGATCAAATATTTTTTAGCATTTTGCAAAATTAGGTCTTTATGTCTGTGAGACTTGTAGAATAGCTGTACAATTAACAAATGCGATAAAAAAAATAACGTATTTTACTCGATTGAATCATTTCCATCTAAAAAAAAAAATGTATCATAAAACTATCTTACATTTTTCGGGGTATTATTCCTATTATGCGTTTCTTTTTTTTGAAGAGTATATATTTATCTAAAAGATCTAGTCACACATATTTGCCCTATACATACTGCATACACATACATACATACCCCCCTCTCCCCGGTCTCTCACCATTTTACACTTCTCTTTTAACTATAATGCTAGAGTGTGGTCAGATCGTCATTTTTTTTATAATTTGATTTGAAATTCAGTCAAATTACATAGAGCATTACGACAAACTGAACTTTACACAGCTTTTTCACCGATGAAATATACTTGGGATAGAAAATCGGGCAAATGTCAACGAGTGTAGCAAGGAACCAATGACAGCGTTTCTTACAGTAAAGATGTGGGGCTTAAGTCATCTCATCGTTTGTCAACAGAGCGGGCGTCAAACTCGTTTATTTGAAACAAAAACAATATCCCTAAAAATGTATGCATTGCTTCTACTGATCTAGGTTTCAGTTGACGGGCCAATATTAGTTTATAGTCACTCCAGGTACAGGGTGTCCGAAAAGAAAGGTAACACTTTCCTACTTTTGGAATGCTGATCTAATGTTGAAGAATTTATATCAAAATATGTACACATATAAAACAAAGAAGTTTGTTCTGGTAGCATAATTTAGTTGATATGTCAAATAGTTTTATTTTAACAGCATTTTAAGTACAGAGTACCTTTCTGTCATTTCAATAATTAATGAAATTCTCTAAATGACGTCCTTTCATCAGCTTCCCTTCCCTAACTCGCACTTTGAAATTGTTAATAACGATTTTACACATTTCTTCACTGATCTTCCTAACTTCCCGTTTGATGCTTGACAAAAGCATATTTGTGTCCACGCTTTTGGTCTGTAAACAGAAGACTTGAGGTACCCCCAGAGAAAGTAATTGCACGGGTTCAAATCAGGACTGTGCGCAGGCCAAGACTGTCCACAATCCTTCACTTCAGGGTATCGTCGGGAAATCACCATGTCACCGAAGATTTCATTGAGATAATCTAATACAATATTAGATGTATGTGATGTTGCACCATCTTGCATGAACCAGACATTTTGCATATTTTCTGTTCGCTTTCGAAGCGCAGGAACAAATTTGTTTTTCAAAATTGACAGGTATCGTTGTGAATTAACAGTGTCTGTAAACATATGTAAAAACATATGGGCCATTCACTCCATGTGACGATATAGCACACCAAACAGTTTTTCACTGTGCAGTGGCCTCTCCATGTAACAATGAGGCTGTTCATTTCCCCCACGATCTCATGTTTTGTTTACATACATGACCAGAAGGAGGAAAAGTGATTCGTCTGAAAACCAAACATTTTGAAATGCTTCTGCGTAATTGTCGGCAACGTCAGCTCCCCAACGGCAAAAATCAAATCTTTAAACCTGATCCGAGATACTCAAAATCTGAATTATCTGAATTTTGTATGGAAAAAATTTGAGATCCTTCCTAAAAGTGTCATGAACACAAGTTTTAGGGATTCCAGTCTCTGTGGAGGAACGTCTAACTGATTTCTCTGGACTGTTAGATAGCATTTCTCGAAGCGTACTCACATTTTCGTAGCTCCGACTTGACCTCGATCGACCTACTTTTGCAGTACCTTGTCGCTCGAATTAACATATAATTTTGTAGACATTACAAGTTTGATGTCAAGCAAAGGGTTCCGAAGATATTGAGCGGACAACGCAGTCTACCGACATTCCATCTGACAGGTGCAAAGCAATAAGCCCTCCATATGGGGGGGGGGGGGGGGCATACAAAAAACTGGAAAGCAAGGGCATATTTATAACTATGTAATTTCATTGTAGTGACACCAAAATCATAAAGGGGGGAATTAATGATGCAACACTGCTGTCATCTTAGCTGCGGAAAAACCTTTAATAAAAATTGCTTTAATAAAAATTGCGTTCTTTTTCACTGACTTAGTAAGTTGTCAAGGCATTGGATCTAGTACACGTTCTTACATTCTTAATCTGAAAATAAATCACAACTATGTATATAAGATATTAAACTGTAAAGTGTTTTTGTCATATAGGCCTATGGAATAACGATGTCAATCTAATGTAATACGTTCTAGGCTTATCAGAGTTTTAGAAGTTTGGAAAAAAATACTGTCCACAATGAGAAGTCACTCATTGATCACTTCCAATAATCATTGTTTTGATCTAAGTTGCAGGTGGGGTTGATACTGTCTTCTTTATCTTGGTGAAAACTTCAATCAGCTGTGACTTGTCCATTTTCTCAATATTAAATTCAATTTTCCCCCACTTCTTGAATCTTCTTCGTTCCTTCCAGTCGGACAAATTGCCATCGGTATAGCCCGGTACAAACAAAAAAGCCTTCACTTTCAAAACGGGTACTTCAAATCCATCAACTCCAAATGTTGTACCCCATTTTGTTTTGCATTCTCGACACCGAATGATTCTCTTTTTGAATCTGGATATCTCTTCTGTTTCTTCAAAGATACAGCGATCTTCAAAGTTTTGGTCTAATACAACCCTATGCTGCCCTGTGAAGATTCTGATGTCATGGCTCATCACAGCAAACCCTTGACATTTCCAACAAATCATGGCGAAGGAATTATTTGATTTTTCGACTGAGCTCTCTAAAAAGAAAGACCCAATCTCTGCACTCTTGATTTTCAGCTGTTGTTCTCGAATCTTTCTTTCTCGATCCTCTCTTTTCATATTTTCCAGACGGTCAAAAGCACGTGCCATCAAAAGGGCTTTCTGTAGACTTGTTTCCTCACGGCGCTGTATCGTCTGATCAGATATGTGTGTTACCGTGGAACCCTGTTTTCGAGCACGGCCTAAAATATAAAAAGCAATAAAGTTAATCGTACTTTTAATTAAAATTGTAATAAACACAGTATGTTTTTGCATTTAGAAATATCTCTTTTTTTCACCGTAGCTTAGAACTAGAAAACTGACGCAGCTAGCGAAAGAGAGCCCCGGTAAGGGTGTCGTCTACAATATGTGTACTTAAAAAAAGTGGGCTTCATATTCTAATAGACAAGAATGAGCTAACTCTTGAATACCGTGAGTAAATCAATAATGAATGATTGATTATTGTTGTTTTACGCCGAGTCGGCAACATTTCAGCCATATTTCGGCGATAAATCAATAATAAATACAGTACGGGGCGCAGACGTGCGTAGCACTAAATCATGATAATGCCAACCACTTAATGCCCAGTGGTTGTGCTAAATTTTGAACACGTCAATTTCTGTACACAAACAGAGGGTGGGTTGGTATGAGGATTTTTTTCAATGGATGTGCCCCCCCCCCCCCCCCCCCGTGGATCCAACGCTCTGGATGATGTATAGAATGTTTGTCAAAATTTGAAACCACTTGTATTTTGGCGTAGAAGGTATGCTGTTTCTAGTACACTCAATCTCTAAAGGTGTAACTTCTCAATTCTCGATCTCAATTCGTTTTTGTCAAAAATTATCTTTACATTCATTTTTGATTATCTTCTGAGAGTCGACTTAATTGATTTTATCAAGGCTACATAGTAATGTTTAGTGAAATTATTTCATTGAGATCTTAAACCATTACAAAGAGAAATATAAATTAACAAGAATATTAGCATTATTTAATTACGAACCACTCATTTGCATTATATCTGCCTCGTTCCCAGTGTAGTTGTATGTTATGATGAAGTTACAGTCCGGGACATCAATTCCTTCACTTCCAACAGAGGTCGTCACTAATAAATTTATCTCCCCTTCTCTGTATTTCTTTAAGGTGTTTGCTTTTTCTTCTTCCTGCATACCTGTAAGACAATGGTCAATTTTCATTCACGCTGCACGTAACGAATTATTTAATGCGAACTATTTTCTTTAGTTGTTATTTTCATTTAATATGTTTCATAAAATATTTTATTTCTTTTTTAAAAAATTCATTTCAAATTGGTGTACCCAGGCTGACTAAAACAATTCTTGTAATAGCAACTTTGAGTAATCTGCACGGTCAATTTTCGTTTAATTGCAACTTTTTTTTTATCTGGAAATATGGCAGTTTAATAAGTTTTGCGATGAATTGAATTCCGCAGCCTGGGTGGGGGTAGTTATTGTTTCTTTGTACCTTTTTGAGATAAACACTAAATCTTTTCGTTTTCCTTCATTATATTTTAAAACACGTCTTAAAAAATTTAAGATAAAAAAATGATTGAAACAAATAAGGGATCATAGAATAAATACATGAATGTCTGGTATTTAAAAAAGGGCTATCCAATGAGAACTGTCTGATCTACTAGCGGTAGTTTTAAAAATGAATTCCTGTGTATAAAACATTGTAGGCATTCTCATTGACAAGAGCCTCAAGTTAACGTATCACAATTTCCAACGCAGACTTCGCATCCCTCCAAGGAGGAAAATACAATCATTATCGTCACGGGACCTTTCACTATCAGCACACGTAGTTTTTTTTTCTTGTAATAGAACATGTAGAAGCAAAGATCATATTGTCTGATGGAACTTAACAACATTCTTGTCCAGTTTAACAAGCTCTGTCATTGTTAATTGTATAACATTATAGATGTCAAATCTGCAACATGTATCGGTTAAGAGATGTCCTGTGAATTACTTGACGCTAAAATATATTGTTATACCTTTAAAAATTGGTTCCTATATAAATCTATACTAAGAAAGTCTAACATTTCCAATGGTTTAATGAGCGTTCATAAAAAAATCGATGTTTGACCGCAGAATGAGATACTGGACCGCTTACGTCACACTGTGGGCGGGATCAGCTAAACCTTATTTGGTGTTCGACATTGTTGTTGCATTATCTATTATTAGAAGAATTTTTTTTCTCTCGCGCCCCTGGCACGCTTTGAATTTTCTCAATAATCACAAAAGATAAAAATCACCCAGGCCTTTTATTTTCCACATAGTCTACGTAAAGATAAAAGTTGGAATCCGAGAAACATGTAAGTTGTAACGCTTTCCCAATTACGAATGCTTCAATTTGTCAGATCCACCTTCATTACACAATAGGTCTACCATGTTTACTAGTATAGAGCGAGGAACATTCGACCCACTTTTGTGACGTTTCCGAACTGGAGTACGGTTAGATACTGGACCATGGTCGGCAAGGATTGATAATTTTGCAGCTAAAATCACTAACTGCTCTCATAATATTGTTTTTCTTTTCATAAAACGTAAAATAAGTCAGAAAAACAACAAATTTTTATTCAATTTAGCAAGGCAACACATAACTTCGATTCCCATGTAAATTATCACTTCCGTTACGCACGCACTCACTCACCCACAAGCGCGTTACTATATCCCCTCAAACTTCATTGCGAGGGTATAAAAAATCCAAAATAAGGAAAGATGATGAAATATATAGCTTTACTGTTAAATAAAATGTAGATAGTTGACTTATCTTCTATTCAAATCTTTGTAAACTATTACTCCATTATCATCTGAAAATTCAGATTTCTGATAAAAAGCACAAAATCCAATATGCTTGTCAAAAATTTTGGATGAATTGGAGTTAATTTTTCCAACTGGGGTCTTTTAACCATATTTGAACACACCATGGATATTAATCATTATATTGATTAATTGGCTCTATACAGGTGTTTAATTGCGACAACCAGTTAGCCCATTCACAGCCCACATGAAAATATTGCGGTATATTTGACAATATGATAGTTTGTTATGTACACGGGTAATATGGTTTATAAGAGAGATTTTATGGCAAGAAAAACGTTCCTGAAATGTAAGGTGTTGTGAAGAGAATTTCAATGAATCTAATGGGGATAAATATAGAGTTTATTTTATTTTTTCATGTCAATAAGAAGATGAAAAACACTTATGATGGGGCTTACTTTAAGCAATTTTAGCACTCTGTCGACTTACCCTCGCTGTTGTCACTAGATTTACTGCCAGTAAATGGCGCCGCTTTGTATCCCATCATTCCCAGCTCATCTGATATGTACTGCGCTAGTGCAAAAGCTGTTGCTCTAGTCTCTACAAAGATCATTCCCCTAACACTCTCACCAAGGTCAGATTTAAGGTCAACCAAGTGGTTCCTTAACATTTTTAGATGAGGGTTGATTATTTCACTCAGTTCCAGGAGCTCCTGACACACTTCTATTAATGAAAATTGTATTACATACAGAGGTAATATTTTCATTGGTAATGCTTATCAGCAGAGTGAAAAATTGAAATTTTAACAATCTATGTACCCCTATTTTCTGACCTTCATTATATCGTAAAAACTGTGTTTCTATATCATCTTCGTTCGGAAAATGATGTTCCATTAACGAAACTTGGTGCTGATTCTTGTCATCTTCAAATTTCCGCTTCAAATAGTCAGCAACATGAGTGCTGTTCATCAAATAGTTAACACCCAAAGCTTCATTGTAAGCCTTCAAAAAACATTGCCTTTTGGAAGCAAAGCAACAACTGTGCTGTTCATATGATTGTAAAACTCTAATACACTAGAAACTATACATGAAACAGCCTTGACTACCGGTTTCTTGTATCTACTTGCAAGTATGGATTTGCAACGCGATGTTTTCGTTCTCTGAATTCAGTTTTCTTTGCTTGTCATAAATAATCAAAACAAAAAATGGATACTTGAATTTTAGAAGAAAATTAGTACAGCAGAGATTTTACACCAACCGACAGATGAGTAAGGGCTACGTGTAGTTTTCTGAGGAGCTTTGGATCACTCTTCAGTTTACATATCACTCTGTTTCTGAAGTGGATGGTCCATTTCTGATACTGTTTACCATCTTTTTTATTTGGTTTTCTGCCCCATTGTTTCTTCAGTTTGGGCTGATTGACCACTGAAAAACATCAAAAAGTTTTTAAACTTGAAAGGTTCATGCTGAATTTTAGCAATATATCAACCATTGTTAATCTAGATATACTTTATCCTAATTTTTGTTGACAATGCTCTCGGACAGGCCTCATATACATCTAAATGGAACCTTGGTTTTTAAGGTCTCATCCGAAAGACCAGTGATTTTCACTTCTGTGTCGGGCGCTTGACGAAGAACAGTCACTATCTATGTTTACGTCTTATGTTTAAATGAGAATCGAACACGGGTCTCCCGATCATGAAGCTAACGTTCTACCACTAGCTACCGTGAATGGTGTGGACAACAATAACGGTGGTGTATTTGAAATTGTTACTAAAGACAGACCTGACCTTGTAAATGGCATTGTTTTACAACTGAACGCGCTTTAGTTACCTTCTGTCTTGCCTACATACTGCTCAATTGACTCAATTTTATCCAGAATGATTTGTTTTGGCATGTCTTTTTCTTTTTCCATTAGTTTTAAAGTCTCTGCAAGTATTGAACGTATTATTTTTAAGAAATAAATTATAAATGAGAGTCAAAGAGGAAAAACACAAAGAGATTTAATTTGTGAAAATAGTGTTATAGTTGGAATAGTGACATGCCTCGCTTTGGAACGGCCACGTGACTCTCCAACTCCTTTATTTTCTTTCTGACCTTTGAAATTTCGAACACATCCAGACTTGCACACACGCTAAGTATATGAGTCACTGCCCCCTCTTCTGTGCTGGATTTACCAATCCCAATAGTAGCAGTCAGTCCCAAAACCTGACACAATATACAAACTATGTTAAATGGATATGAAACCGAATTCTGTCAGACCAGCAAGCAATATGCTTGTCTTAAAGACTCAACAAATTTTATGAGATCATAGAGAACCAAATGACTATGCCTTCTTTTGTAGCAATTAAAATACCTAGAATACTTTGTTTCAGCTTTAGGGATAATTTCTAATACAAAGGTAACCCCAAAATTTCAAAATTTTTACTCATACTGTTACCCCCTCTAAATATACTTGTTTTTATTCTACAGTAAATACTACTTAAAATGAGAATCGTTCTAAATCTTTGAATTTTGATCTTCAGTATTTACCTGTGGCAACCCGTGTTTTTCCTCTCGTTTGAGCGTTAAATACTGCTTCAGAACATTATTATATGGCTCCCTCTTCCTTGTGTGGTGACACTCGTCTAGGATCAGCAGAGAGATTTCTTGGAGAGAGATCTGTTGGCTGTTGATGTTGTTTAAAAGAATCTGTGGCGTCATAAAAATTACCTGGTTCTTTTTCTTGGCAATCTCCAATTTCCTACCCAGTGCAGCTGTTTTGTCAGTTTTTAGATGATAAACCTTTATTTCGACAAGAAAGAATCATTCTTTCCATGAAAGCTAATTGCTCTTTCCGTCTTATGTAACATAATTAATTGTAATTTTCCTGTGTAAAGTTTTTGTTTGTGATCCTGAGGAAAATCCATAAATATTAATTAGCATGTATATTGATATATTTACGTCCACTGAATACCATCTCCTTTATTTCTTATGAAAACCATGATTGTTTATCAATACTCGAACGCCGCTAAGCAAGCCACCTATATAGATTTCATGAACATTGGTTCATCCATTAAACATATCAGATAGCTGCAGATCTGTGGTCTGAAAAAAATGGGATGACGACCAGAGAGCTACAATGCCACCCATTAAAAAAGTGTATATTTATTGCGCCTAAAAAGTGCGTTGTTTCTCGATTTTTTTTTCACTGTATATTTCAAAATATTGCTAACCGTGCGTTTGTGGCATATTCTTCTACTACGTCCACAACAAAACTGCATGTACAAGTCATGCACAAAGTTTCACCATGTTGACCTCATAAGGGGTAATCAATTGTTTTATTATACCGAAATAAGACAATTTTTGTAGGCTTAATTACTAAAAGAATCAATATTGTGTATTAGACCTTCATGTACGAACTGTTATCATCAATGTTCCATCGGGATCGGGATTCGCTAGTGAAGTTGTTTACTTTTCGTCTGCAAGTCTTGTAAGTTTCTGCACCGCCGATTTTTTAAAACATATTGTGTATTAGACCTTCATGTACGAACTGTTATCATCAATGTTCCATCGGGATCGGGATTCGCTAGTGAAGTTGTTTACTTTTCGTCTGCAAGTCTTGTAAGTTTCTGCACCGCCGATTTTTTAAAACACTCTGTGATTGTCAGTAACATGCATTTTTATAAATTCATAAATAGCATTCCCGAGTACAATGACAATCTGACTTTTACTGTACAAAAGAGCCGAGTCTGCATTCGTTGAATTTGACATTGTAACGAACGTTTCAATGAAAACGATACATTTTTATAACGCATCTAAAGGTCTTTCGTATTCCTTATCATAAAAAAGATTATACATATTTTTATAACGCCATTTTTTGTAATGAACAATCATTACTGTATGCATAAATTTTCAATTTGAATAGAATTTAGATTAACAGGGCATTTTTAGCGGTCATTATTTATAATGACCGGGTCATTGTAACCCACGTGCAATGATTCCTAACGGTACTTTTTGAAGTCATTATTGAGTTTAAAAGCTTTCTAACAAGCCAATCAAATTTGAGTATTCTTAATAGAGGTATAATAAAAACAATTAAATGTTTTTTTGTCTGTTAGTATGCGTATTAACATTGCAGCTATCGCAGAAAAAAACGTAACATTCAGTACTTAAGCGAATGGTATATTTTTACTGCAATAGCTGTACATAACATTAATTGCCATACTAACAACCAAATAAAGCATTTTATTGATCAAGTGAAAAGAGCCTAAAAAAACTGTAACAACCTAGGATTACAAGATAGAGAAGTTGCATGTGCAAAATATTGACCAATGAAAGGTTCCAAAGTACATGTTAAGAGAGAGGAGTGTAATAAATGGTCATAAACATTTACGCGCAGTAAATAAAATAGGATAAATAAACCTTGAATTTTTAGGCATTACAAACTGTAAGTAAATCAATTCTTGTTGACGTATTTTATGAGAAACCATTTTTACATTAGCTTAGACCTAACATCTTCAGCGTTTTTTCTTTCATATATTTGTACAATTCTTACTACGGATTTACCTTTTTATTGATATTTTTGCAAATATTTTGACGTAGACTTTTTTTTAATTCGTGTGTTTCTACAGGCCTTTTTTAATGACACATTTTTTTTGTTGTAAGGTACTTTGCTTTATAGAAGTATTCTGCTTTGGAATTGCATTAGATTTGTACAGAGACTTTGCTGTGAACTTACTTTATATTTATACAGATACTTTTCAAATATTTCGTACTGCTGCTCCACCAGGGCATTGGTTCTAGCCAAGAAAACAACGCATGCTACAAGAAATATAAAGAAATGTTATTTCAGTCAAAATCTATAACAATACACAAACAAGAAATTTTTCACAAAAGTATTAAGAACGTGTCCTCTGGATTATGATTATTTGCACTTTTTGTCCAGAAAAAATTAACTGGTCAAAAATGACATGCAATTAATAGCCTGTAGAAGCCACGTAATTGTAATATACCATCAGTTTTGCTGGAAAGATGTTCCTCAGTTATGTACAGAGCGACATATGTTTTACCAGTCCCTGTCTCAGCACAGACAATTGTATTAACACCCTCTACTGCCAATTCTGCCAGTTCTAGCTGATATTCCCTCAATGTTAGTGTCGGATAGACTTCTTTCTCCGTAGCTAAAAATAAGTAAAGGGTATTTATAACGGCAAAATTGTTTCTTTACAAAATAAGTGTCAAGCTTTCAATAATTAGGAATAATGTAGTATACTAAATTAATAAAACAATATTTCATTTTATATGTAGTTCTTTTCTTCTTGTTTAACATAAGGCCTTGCATATTAGGTAGTAGAAAAACAAATTCTTCAACGTTATAGCTAATATCCAATTTTTAGTCCAATCAAGCAAACATGTCAAAAACGAAAAGTCCCCATTGATCTTCGAAAATTTGAATTTTAAAAAAATGTGAAAACTACTCACTGAATATAAGGAATTTACGATAGTTAAATGTTGCAGTGGAAAAAAAAAGAAGAGAAGGCATTTGACCACAGAACATAGTATTTTATCATATACACATCGAGGAGTATCATTAAAACAGAAATACGATGTTTGCACAAGTTTACTGTTCAATTTTTATGATATGAATGTTTAGATTGTCAATTTGAATAATTAAGCAACACCTTCCTCCATATCTTTCTCTTTTTTTGACTTTTCCGAATCTTCATCTTTTTCTGATAAATCATCTAGAAAAAAAAATAAAAGGTAAAATTTTTTAGTATTTGCTTTGTTTTGTTTTTAACTTCCAATAAATGTATCTGTTTTTACTAACCATGGTAAAGTGCTGAGGTGTTTCTGAGTTCTGAGCGCTCTACTGTGGCATCCAGATAGTTTAAGATATCTTGTACTTGATCAGCTGTCATACTTTCGTTTACGTTAGATGTTCCTCCAGCCCTAAACTCCGCTTTCCGTTTGCTGTTAATTTCCTCATCCATCGCCAGCTTTACTCTGTCAGCACTTTTTGATAAAAGTTCTGGGGACTCCTCCAGGGTCGTCTCTAGGCTAGGCAAATTTAATCTGGCAGTCTCTGCCAAATACAATTGTTCAGTTCCTAACCCTCCTGCCACCCCTCCGTCTTTGGTTGTATGTGACTCGCCTTGTTTGGAAATGTCGGTGTTTAAAATTGCCTTAGGGTTTGTCTCCTCTTGATTTCCCGTTACGTTATGATCCTCAACTTCCTCTCCGCGAACTTCTTTTGATTTTGATACCCACTGATTTGGTTTTGAGACTTGGAGTTCTTTGGGTTCTGTTTCATCTTTATATATAGATAGATAAGACAGAGAGAGAGAGAGAGAGAGAGAGATAGAATGTTTGGTCAAGTCATTTTAAAAAAAACATAACTCAAATTGATAAACACTTTTTGGGAAAAAATCTTTTACATACTGTTAACAAGGAAAGTGTAACTTCCTCTTAAGGAAAACAAATTTAGACATTAAAAATAATGCATATTCAGATGCCAAAGGAACATTTACCTTTGATATACACAAGAAGTTTCTTAGACAGATCTTCCAGTCTAAGATCCTGGAAAATATTAGACAATTCATTTATCCACGAGACATTCTTTCTCCATAACCTATCAAGGAGAACCAAAATGGCTGCTGCGTCACTTCCAGTCATATCCCTTTCAAATTTGATGTTATCACTGTCTTCACGTGAAATCAATTTTCCGTCAATCAACATCTTCTGTTTCTCTTGACTGAGTAAAACTTGGAAATATGAAACATTTTCCGGTTTAAGTAAAATTTCGCAGTATGGCTTTCGAACACTTTCCGGAATATTTTCATCTTTTAATGCAGTGATCACGTGCTTAAAATCTGCAAAAAATAATTTATGTTTTATAACTTTTTATGAATTCATTCCTAATGAACTTCATAAAAATCCTTTTTTCAGAAGTACCATTATTCTCTAAGGCTTTGTAAAAAATTGACCACTTGTCTTCGTGTTGACAAGCGTCCATGAGATCCAGAAGGACGTGCATTGAGTGCCTTGACCCTTGCTCTCTCCCCGCTTTCCGAACTTGAAGTTTTCCATCTGAAAATAAAAGAAAGTGTCATATTTACTCATATTCATTATATATATATATATATATATATATATATATATATATATATATATATATATATATATATATATCATAGATCACTTTATACTAACCTAGAAATTATAGAAGCGCAACAGTGAAATGATGCATATCCATTGCACTCGGGTGAATAAATGTATTTTTTGTTTGTTAAAAAAGCAGTATGACCATCCATCAAATCGCATAAGTTTATTTCTAAAGTTTTAGTCTCTTCATTAAATTTGATTGTATACTTTTTCTTGTTCTCAACCAATGTTAGCGGTAAGAAACAATAAAATATTATTTAATCCTACCCTTTCCTATAATGCCACCAAGATCTGAGAGAAGATCCGTTCCTCCAATACACTCCTCCAACAGAGAGAGATAGATAGATACCATTACGTCACTGTAATCAAACATTACGGCAAGAACAATCATCATATTCCTTTGTTTTTTTTTCACGTTGTTTCTATGTACATGTATTAATAAAGCAAAAAAAAAATTCAAATTGATATATCCGAAAGAATAGTCCAGTCAAAATAAAATATAACGTCAAAGAAATTGCAAAACAGATAAATAAATTGGAAATGGTAGTTGGTATTAATGTTAATAAAATGTATTAAAAAATATCTTACAATCAAAATATATGCACAAATACAAAAAAATGGGGTAAATGGAATAGACATTTGGTATAATTCGCACTTCACAGAAAAAAAACCTTTTCTTGAACAAATTTAACCCGAACTGCTTTCCATACAAAAAATAGCTTCTCATATTGAAAACTATGAGAATAAATGATAGTTATTATATTCATGCATATATTTTTCTTTGTTTTCCTATTTTCTGTACTCTCACCATTGTATAAATTACACCGCACTTAGGTACATATTGAATAATACATGCATTTAAATATATATGAAGCAAAAATATTCATTGAGAGAACTTGAAGGGTTTTTATCACGTATTTAAATTTTTAAAAATGAAACACTATTACATTCTTGAAACATATAATTATCGTTTAATTATGATATAACTTTGAAAACAGTCATAATTAGGCTATAAAACGCCCGTAATATAGAGTTCTCCAAGTAAAAATCTCCACTAATTAGATAGGGGTCACGTAGTACTGAAACGTCATAGGTGTCAATGGTCAATTAGAACTCGTAAAGCTTATCGTAAGAAAAATGTATCAAATAGATTTTGACTTAAATAAAATACACTACACAATAAAGTCGGTGGAAATTTTGACATCGACGATATTCTTTTAGTTATAGACGGTCAATCTTTTATGTATGAATGTCTAGCAGAGAGAAATAACACCGAAGACGAAGCCGTTGACAACTCGGGACTTCCGACTAAATAAAACGAGTAACTAAAGTTGGACTTCGTAAATATATATAGATATGAGAATTTTAAATTCAACTTCTTCATTCTTTTAATAAACTGTATATAAATATTCTATCTGTTCCAGTGAATATCATGTACTAGAAATGACATTTCTTCAACACTGTTCGATGGCGCCGTACGCCATTACGAAGTTCACAACATTCCTACTAGCATGCACTAGATTCTATGCGACTTTAAAATGCGCGTTGGGTATTTCTTTCCCGTTTTAAAAAGGTACTATGTCCTTAAAATATTTTATAGTACAGAAAATAATCGTGATCGGGCATAAACGATTGTTCTGAATGGAGACAAAGCCCTTGCGTTTGCAGCAAAAAGGGCCCCCTTCCACTTCTCGACCAAGTCCAGAAAATGTGGGAAAAAAGTCTTCCTAAAACCTTTCTTGTGCGCATTTGTGCATCCTAAAGCCACAAATTATATCTTACTAGCTGTCAATTATCCAATTATTACTTATTTATTTACGAACATGTTTAATAGACACAACGAATGAGCTGTTTTGTATACACAATAGTACTTTGCTTGACCAGGATTGACACCTATGACGTCAGAGCAATGGCGCATAGCATCGGCGATCAAAATATGCATATTGAGAAATTCAAACTTTGAATCGCTGAAACATCAACAATATAAATTTTCTAGCAAAGATTTTTAAATATATGATTTTAATTACATGTAAACTTTGTCTTATCAAAAAGTTTTGAGACGTGATAATTACCCTTTAAAGGATATTTTCCTCAATCAAGACAGAAACATAATATGTAACATATTATTAAATGCAATTTTTTTTTTAAACTGAGAAATAAAATGGTCTTATCTCATAAATATTATGCATTTTCTGACCATCTCATGATATCATTTGTAGACACTGATGACAACATTGATCCACTATGGAATTCCATACTGAATCGTACAATTTCTTATCGATGATAGATAATTTTTAAAAACGGCGAATTTATGAAATATTTAAATTTATTGACTTTTTTAGCAGCTGTTTTTAAGGACTTCATATATTATTAGTAACAGTGACATTTTATTTTATTTACTCTTTTTGCAATTTTTTAAACTGTAAACTTGAAAAAAAAGTATATTTATACTTTTCGGCTTCCAATAAATGATGAAAAGAAGGTTAGAGTTTGAGGCAAACCCCACTGCTTCCAAACTGCGGTCTCAGCATAATTTAGATTTTTAAAACTGTTTGTACTGTTGCCAACATGATAAACAAGCTGAAGTAGAGAAAATGGCATTCCGTTTTGACAAAAGGGTTTCAAAGAGAAATCCAAAGAAGATTGGCATCAGTTAGCGATTTGCGTACTGCTGATGCTGTCTATCACAAAGTCTGCAGTGTAAATTTCAGAACCCTCAAAGCTTTTCCGAAAAAAGTTCTCTTCACTCACAAGTTGCCAGATACAAAAATCTGTTGGGCGACCTACAGTCCCTGAAGAACTGCGAACGATAGTATTGTTCTGCCGCCTACCTCCAAGTCAAATTTCAAAAGTTAACATATTTGAATGATTTTTTATATTTATATAGATATTTACGTGAATTTTCATAAAACATAACTTGTCTGAGAAAAGTAAGAGAGATAACTCTTTAATTTTGGTAAAAATCGCGTTTTTCACTATAGAAATTAACGGAAAACGGAAAATATTTTTAAAACATCTCCCCCACCCCACCCCGTGAAACAAAAATTCCTTTTTATGGGTTTTATGAATTGTTATTTCACAAATTCATACCAAAGGTTTTGTTGTTTTACGGGGGGGGGGGGGGGGGACATGTTTACAGACAAAAAAAAACAAACAGTAAAAATGGTAATCTTATTAATAAGATTACAAATAAAATAAGGTCTTTTATCAATCTTTTATGTTGAATTTTATATGTTAAACATATGGAAAGTTATAAGGGTCATTTATCCATTTTCATGCGTTTTTGAAAATCTAGCGATTTTTAAAGCCTGATTTCAATGGATAAAATTGAACACTGACATAAAAGATGGGAAAAATACTTTCCATGAAATGGGAATGATATCGTGCATTACACCTTCTCCTACCGGTTACTTTGGACTGTTGATAAGAAGACAAGATGTATCATCAGGTCAACTTTCAAATCTCGGCCACATAGAAATTTCTTATTTCATTCCAAGGCATTCAAGCCTAATTAATATAATTGAAATTGAAACAATTCAAGAAATAAGCAATCAAAACATTATTTTCTGGTTTGAAAGTAGATCTTCTGATGAAAGCAGTTTGACCTCAGCGACAAGAAAAACCTGGATGGTCAGCTACAATGCAGATGGTCAGAAAAAGGACACATTGCTGGCAAGTCTTCAAATAAGTTTTTACCAATTATAGATCTAAATCTTAGCGGTCTTTCATGCGTGTATTCAACACTGAAGTTTATTGAGGCACGACTTTATGGTAAAGTCCCGGTCGTAACATCTGACCAGTCTCTTTACTGGAAGGCAATGTTTGAATTGTGGGCGATTCAAACCTAGGAGAAATTAATCGTCATCCGTCTGGGTGCATTTCATAAAGAAATGAGTTTTATTGGGAGTATTGAATGCATCATGGCTAGGTATGGATTTCGAGAACTGGTATAACATATATGCACCCAATTTTATCATATGTTGAATGGTAAAGCAGTCTCCAGAGCTGTCAGATGATATCTGTTGGTAGATAAGGCCGTTGGCTTCCTACTTCTGCAGCAGACGGAACACTTTAATTCTGCTGAAGAATTTCAGAATAAGTTTCTTACATTATTTGATAAACTTTTGATTCAATCGATGTCTGTTGATAAGTTTGCAAATTGTGAACAGATCTAAATTCTCGAGGAAGACTTTTCAAGCAAGAAAGAAGCTCCGTTTAAGTCAAGAAAAGCAAAATTATGGCTTATCTATATGGAGATGGTGTCAGTTTTGAGAAAATTCCTTTTAGCTGAACGCACTGCCATTTGGAATCAATAGAGGAAATGCTTCCCTTCTTTGCAGCAGCAGGGCATAACTTATACACCAAATCTGCTTACATTTATCTAACGCAGATTCAGAACTTAAAACAGACCAGCTCAGATGTTCACACTTTATTTTGCAAAGGCCCCATGTCATAAGAACTGACCATTTCTGGGGAGGAATATCCTCCGATTTGGCAGTACAGCAAGTTCGTATGCAGAGCATCAAATCAGTAGGTGAATTGACACATAGGAGAGGTTTAGGGCTTACACAGGGAACTTTGTGGCTACTATCAATACCGGCTTGCTCAGAAATTAATGAAGCTATGCAAACCCTGACAGCTACGCATTATGAGGCAAGTGAGCAGAATAAAGAGGGTTCAAGAACTAGGATAAAAAGCGAGTGTCATGTTATCAACATTCTACAGGTGTTTCTCAGATAGGATGACCCATTTACTCTTTGACGACCTTACTCTCAGAAACATTGAGACTCGTGAAACAGCAGATACAAATGCCAATGTAGATGACGCTAAAGGCATTGATGGAAAATCTTAGAAAAGATGTTGCAAAAACATGTAATAGATTTTACAAACAAACGAAAGGAGCAAGTAACATCACTTAGTGCGAAGAAAATTGGTAAAGAAGCAAATGGCAATGAAGAGATCAAAATACAGATAGACCCTCAACTAATTTCCAACGACTGGTGATAGCAGGAGAGGAACATGTCAAGGACAGCTCAGAATTACTTAAATATGAACTTGCAAGCATTCCTCCTGCAATTTTTGACAACCAAGGATTTCTATGCGAGGCTGTGAAGTCTTCCCTTCTCTTGCGTCGACTGAGACTACACAAACCACTGTGACTGGGGAAGACACGGATATTCTAGTCCTTTGGTGTCATTTTGTAAAAAGTCAACACAAACAGTTTGTTTTTTGCTCTGCTAAGGTAAGCAGAAAAATGGGATATGAATAGAACACGTCAGCACTATGAAGATGTACTCTTTGTCCCCTTTTATTGATGCAATCACTGAATGTGATTCGACCTCCAGGCTTTTG